GAATCTCCTTTGCAAAACCAGAATGTCTATTACAACATAGAATTCTTCTTTTTTCAACCCAGTAAAAGCACTTTCTGAATTCCATCGTGAAGCTGTGTTCCCCAGTGCCCAGAACACAATTCCTGGTGCATGGTTGGTATCTAAAAGCATCTGCAGGTTTTAAGAGACACATTTTGGGGGAAAATTGAGGGCCACAATCAACTAACAGCAGAGGAAGAGCTTTATTTTGTGATTTATGGATTTATTTTTCCCACTTTTCTCTGCTGTGTATCTGTGTTTAATGGGGGACCTGGGGGGTAGAGGAGTTCTAGTTAGAGCAAAGAGTAGCACTGCATGGTGGCTTCAAGGCCCAGCAAGGGCATCCACTCTCCACCTCTGCCCTGTCTCAAGAATCCCATAGAGAGGCTGCTTTGGTATTCTAAGAGCTCTCTGTTCAGAGAGGTTTTATCAGAGAAATTAAAGCAGAAAGTATTCAGCTCAGATAGCAGGATTAATGGACATTCTTCTCCTTCTGCAAAGAGCTGATCAGGACAGAAGACAGAAGATCAGGACACCTCACGGAGATGGGCCTGGTACACACTCAGGGCTGCTCCAGGCGTGCCTGGGCCTTCTTGAAGCTAGTCCTGTTCTTTGCCTCTCTTCTTTTCTTTTCTCTGTGTGTGCATATGTGTGTGGTACTGTGGATTGAACCCAGAGACTTCCTACTGAGCTACATCCCCAGCACTTTTTCTTATTTTGAGACAGAGAGGTTTTCATTATGTCACTAAGTTGCCCAGGGCTGAAACTTGTGATCCTCCTGCAGCAGCTTCCCAGAGGGCTGGGATTACAGGTGTGTACCACCATGCCTGGCTCCTAAAGCTATTTCTTTCTGCTGGATACTGGGCTTCTCCAGGGACCTGTGCTATCATAATCGTCCTCTTCATTCTCCTGGGCAATTGGTTTTCTCTCAATTTCCCCCTGGTTTTCAGCTTTGCATTTCCAGGTTGGTGCTGACAGACTTCCCAGGCCTACATAATAAGAGCATGGTAACAATAGCAACAACAGATGCTGACCTTTATAGGGACTTCTCTGTGGACCAGAGATAGGTGACAAATCCACATGGAATGAGCTGTCACCACCTCCCCACCTGAGTCTTCTGCACCCTCCTAAACACCTGCCACCATCCAGGCATTCAGGAGCAATGGATATGAGGTGTGATCACAAAATACAATGAATGTCTAAAAATTAAAAATTACTATAGTAAAGGAACACATTGCCATTAATCTCCCTCAAAATATACCCCCTTGCCTTGAAGCACATTTACGCCATTGTTCTTACTACTTTCTGAAGCAGCTCTGGAAGTGTCTTTAGTTGTGCTGTCATGGCTGCCTCAACGTCCTGAATTGATTAAAAACCTTTCACTTTCATGCTCATTTTGACTATGTGCCAGATCTGGTAAATAAGTGAGCTAAAGACACACTGCTATGTTTTCACAAGACTGCCTTTCCATTGGATGGCAGTTGGCAGCAGCATTCCCTGAATATTTGATCTTGCCTCAGAAAGACTCATGAAAGAGGACTCCCAGAAGGGCTTCAGAAAGTGGCAAGAATGATGGGATACGTGTGTTCGAAGTAAGAGGGAGCATTTTGAAGAGGACTAATGGCAATGTGTGTTCTACTATAATAAATTTTAATTTAAACATGCGTCCTTTTTATCACACCTTCATATTTTACTGAAGTGGTTATGCAGAGACAGGTGACAGGTGGGTAGACACAGAACCACAAGGTAGACCACACAGCACTTTCCCCTTAGCGGTCGCCTCCCACCATAGTCAACATTTCTCTCCTCTTGCAGGTGTCTCTTCTCTCCTAGTTCTCTTCCCCACTCTCAGCCTGGATAGGACCCTTTGATTTCCATGGCCATTGGCTCTTACTTTGGAAAGACCATCAGGAATGGCCTGGCATCAGCTTAAGGAAAGCCCGGTAGGCCCACAGAGCCCAGCTTCTTGGCCTCAAGCCCTTTCCTCATGGGGAGAGGGTTCTTGGCAAACTGTAGCCATGACATTAGTAGATAGTCTTCACGGGCATTTCTGAGAGGCAAGAGCTCTGTAAGGTTGTCACATGATGCACAGCAAGAAACAGGCTCAAAGATCCTCTTGCTCAGTTACTCAGCCGGATGTAGACTCAAGAGCTTCGAGGATGCCGGTGGCCTTACTGTTCACTGTAGTCACAGGTCCGTTAGTTGAGGAGAGCCCTGTATAATCCCACATTCTTCACTCTCAAGCCCCCTGGCCTGGAATCTTGTGATCGCCTTAAGGACACCTAGGCTTGTCCACTGTCACAGACATAGCTCTGGACACATGGAAGTGCGCAGTGAATAGTCACCCACTTGCACCAGCCGTCCTCACGTACCTCTGAATACACAGGCTTCTGAGTAAATCTCTGACTTGAACAGGCACTTAGAAGACGGCTCAGTTCCCTGAGGCTATCATGCAAATAACCGGATCACATCAGCCTCTGACTGTCTGGCAGGCTCCATGATTACATTGTGAATTCAGCAGCCCGGGGAAGCTCAAGCAGGCTGGGCCAGCACTGTGGATGTTGGCGTGGAGGTCACGATGCTGGCTCAGCCCAGTCACGTGCTTCACAGCGGCCTCCCAGTCCCACCCATCGGCCCTGGGGAGAAGCAGGGATTGAGATGGATCACACTTGTTTGCAGGCTAACATTTTAGTGGAGAGTTAGATGAAGGCTAAATAGAGCTAATTACTTCTCTCAGTTCCAAGAGTCACACAGGGAAGGTCTCTCCACCGAGGCCAGCTCCATCCACCAGCAGCACCAGGTGTGCACCAGGTGTTTCTCCACCCTGCTGTCGAAACACGTTCAACGTTGTGTAGAGCGATAAGGAAAAAGAGCCTTTTCCTGTCGGCTTGTTATTTGTATAAGAAATCAGCTCTTATATTTTCAGTGTGTCAACTTTAGGCAGCCTAGGAGCCAAGGGGCAAGAGCCTGTCCCTCTAAAGCAGAGGCACAAACTGCAACATAATTCTGGGTGCAAATCCTAGCCCTTCCACTATTCATGTGGCCTCAGTTTCCTTACCTGTGAAGTAAGGAAAATCACAGCACCTCTTCCAGTGTCTGAAGAAAGGTGACGCGCCTGGAACAGCGCCTGACACACAGTACTAAGTACAGGTGCACTTGGTTTTGTTGCCATTATTGCGGCAGGCTGGCAAGCAAGTGAACATGGCTACAGGTGTCTGAGGATACGCAGGAGGGGTGGTGCCAACCCACACAACACGGGCCGCACCGGAACTTGGCAGCCCAGGCCCACAGCATCCAGACCAAGTGTTTCCAGACTTTCCAGGTTTTTCAGAAGCAGTCCCCAATCCAGACCAGGATCTTCTCATTTGTTGGTGCTGACAATGAATTAAAACATATTAAGCAGTAGGCTGAGGGTCTCCAGAAGGCAGGCCATGCTTAGTGACTTCCTCCTGTCCTTGCCGTGGGGAGATCCGAGCCTTGCAGCTCCCAGGAGACACAGAGGGGGATGAATTAGTTGGCTGTCATGTCCCAAGTAGGATTGACAACCAAGGGGAAGGCAAGGAAGGGACAGAGGGTTGGCAGCTGAGACTCAGATAAGGAATGGTGGGCTGGCAGCATCCCAGGCTCAAAGACATCCCAGATTGGGAGAGCTTCCTGTTGCGTGTGCTGGCAGGCGCAGCACACATTGCCCCTGACTGCTGTAAATGATGCCAGTAAATCTCTGGGTCAGGTGACCACCTCTCTCGGTGACTGAGATCCTGGGCTCCCGAGTCATGCTGCCTGGATTTAGACAGGCAATATTCCTTACTAGCTTTGTGACTTGGGGCAAGTTACCTCACCTTTCTGTGCTGTGTTAATAGCTGAAAAAATTAATGGTGCCTGCCTGATAGATGTCAAAGAAAGAAAGAAAATGATACATATGACAGACTAACATAGTACCCAGAACTTAGTCATTACAAGATAAATATTATGAATATAAGTAGTAACTATTGAAATAAATGTCAATTTTTATCACTCAGTGAACCAGCAGAAATTTAAGAAATACTTAATGACACACAAAAGTTTTAAAACCAGACACCATGAGAAATATTAGGATTTGTGTGTGCATGTGCCTGTGTGTGTGTGTGTGTGTGTGTGTGTGTGTGTGTGTGTGTTACTGGGAACTGAACCCAAGGAGCTACATTCCTATACATTTTTACTTTTTTATTTTAAGGAAGAATCTTGCTAAGTTGTCCAAGCTGGTCTCAAACTTCCGATCCTCCTCCCTTAGCCTTCTCAGTAACTCGGATTACAGGTGTGTACCACCATGCCAGGCTGTAAATATTAGGATTCTGAGGAGAAGTCTGGCATCTTATTTACTATAAAATCCCCACCACGGTGCTCAGTAGCCAATGTGAGTGAGGAGGTCCATAAATGTTCACAGAATGAGGGGCTCAGACCTCAGGGCATCCAGAATGGGGTGGGGACGATACTTGAATGTGTAAAATGTTAACAACGAAATATTTAAGCTATTGAAATCATCAAAGAAGAGTAAGCCAAGGCAGGAGAATGTGAAGATTTGAGTAAATCACATCTGTGTTCATTGCTGGAAAAGCTGGGAGTCAGAGGAAGTCACTTCAGATTCCAGGGGTCAAGGGGAAGTACGGTGGACATACAGGTGTTACATGGATAGGAAGCAAAAAGACATTCCAGGAGGCCTGAATAATCCATCCTGGGCAAGTATATTAGATGTTGTTCAAATGGGAGAAGGAGAGGTACACCTAGCTGTCTCGATCATAGCCTATTTTCAATCTAGTATGGGCTTACATTTCTCAGCCTCACTGGTAGCTGGATGTGGCCATCTGCTAAATGAAACTTGAAAGTACAGGTCCCGGGGCCCCAAACAACCAGAAAAAGGAGGTGAGTGAGGAAAAGCTGCTGAATCTTAGGAGGACACCCTGGGTTGGCTTGGAGGGACCCTAAACGGGCCAAAGTTTCAGTTATGCTCACACCCACGGTGATGCAAGCTTAGAGCAAGAACAAGACCCTTCGCTACGGAGTCCCCATGTTGTTACTGATTGTTGGAGGTTCTTTTGGTCTGCATGAGTTCTCACAAATCCGTTATGATGCTGTGAAGATTAAAATTGATCCTGAATTGGAAAAAAAGCTGAAAATGAATAAAATATCTTTAGTGTCAGAATATGAGAAAATAAAGGACTCTACTTTTGAAGACTGGAAGAATATTCGCGGCCCAAGGCCTTGGGAAGATCCTGATCTCCTTCAAGGATGAAATCCAGAAATCCTTAAGACTAAGACAACGTGACTGCGCTCATTCTTTTTAAAAAATGTTATCAATGGGACACACTGGATCACTGACTTAAAATTCTAGGTGTGTGGAAACCTGGCTATGAGTAATTTGATAGAAGATAAACTTGATTTTTAAAAAGTCAAGTATAGGTCTTTGTATTTCTCAGCTAGTCCACTTACAAATCAAAGTAACGGTATTGACAACATAAAAACACATTTCAACAAAAACGTGAGTACTGCTATCAAAGTATGTCATATATCCCTCTCTCCAGCTGGGCACTCATTTCCACCAGCCACTATTGCAACATTTTATACTTCATTTAGATTTATAATGAAAATAGTAGGCTCGGGTTCAAATTCTCACAGTAAAACTGAGCAGTGATTTCATGCTAAACTTACATAGGAAAGTAATCTTGATCACCACCTGGTAACACTCTTAGTATTATTTATAATATGTCATAGTAGGCTAATCAGTCTCTAAAGCATCACCTGATGAGTGTGTTGATGACATGTTTAAACATATTATCAATGTTAAGGAAATAACATTCCCAGCTAAACAAAAAATTTTAAGGAAATTAACATTAAGACAAAAATAATGAAGTAGTACATGATTGTAAGCAGACACAGCAAATTGTTAAGGTAATTCAGAGATAACTGCTATTTGGAACAAGCTTATTTAAGGTATGCTTTATGCCTTAGCATAATTTGCATACAAAATTATCCTAGATTTTTGTTTGGTTGGTTGGTTGGTTTTGGTTTTTAATTTTAGGTTTGCTATAACCCAATCCCTAGTAAGAGGATAAGAATGTTCTTGTTTTTCTTATGCATTTTCTCCTTTTCACTGTTCTGGACAGCCTTGACCCTCTACCTTCTGGTATTTTTATGCTTAATTCTAAATGCCTAATGTCTCAACTAGTCCCACTACAATTGCCAAAAAGTCATAAATCTGGCCCACTTTTACCCCAGTGAAAACTTTGTATTCTTGTCAGCAAGTTACTGTTGTAAAGAGTAGAGTAAACTGGTTATCTTGTAGTGATAATTTGCAATAGAGGTGATTTATAAGACTTAATTATCTGGAGGAGTAATAGGGCTTGTTGGAGAGAGAGAGAGAGAGAGAGAGAGAGAGAGAGAGAGAGAGAGAGAGAGAGAGAGAGAGACAGAGAGATTGATTCACCCAAATCTCACTGCTACAATAAAGTAACTCAAAAGTGGATCACTTATTTAAATGTAAAAATCTTTTAGGAAAAAGTCTTCTAAACCTGGTAAATAGTTCATACTAAATATTTCTTACAAAAATGTTCATAAAAGAAAACATTGTCAAATTGACCTTCTCAAAATCATAAACTGTTACTCCTTAAAGACTGACTGTTAAATTGATGAAAGATGTACAGGCTGAAGGAAGGTATTGGTCAATAACAAATCTGGCAAAAGATTTATGTCTGGAATACATACAGAATTCCAGTATCCGTCTTCAAAACTCCATTAATAAAAGAGGCAAAAAACAGAGATACTTCAATAAAAGGGTATATGGATGGCAAAAAAAAAAAAGAAAAAGAAAGTACAGGTCCCAAATGTGGACACAATATCTGGGACTTTAGCAGCCATTTTGGATTGTGAGGCAAAATGTTAAGAATGATGAAAGAAAATGGAAACAACTCGCAGGATTACCTCAACTTTCAACTTTCGAAATTTTACCTCTGGACTTACAGGCGAGAAACAAACTTTTTTATTGTTTAAGTTATTATTACTTTAGCTCTGTCTTAACCTCTAGATGAACTTAATCCTAACTGATATATAAGTAGGAGACCACACTTCCATCCCAAGTACTGGTCAATCATGGGACATTGATGAGCAGGCAAATATCAAGATGACTATGCGCTGTGGAAGGACACAACGAAGATCAGTCTAGCAGCAACTGTGCAGTGAGGACAGGAGGAGGGAGAGCCCTGAGGCCCAGGGCTCAGTGAGAAAGCTGAGAGCAGTAAGTTAAGCAAGATGAATAAGTGAGAATGTGCTGAAAATTGTTTAGGGAAAAAAATCATCCTCAGAATTGGATGATTTTGTGTTTTTTTGGAAAATTAAGAACTACCTAAGAGTATTGATTGTCTTCATTCATTTAGGTTGCTATAAGAAAATACCTGAGAGTGGTTAATTTATCAATAGTAGAAACTTAATGCTCATAGTCCTGAAGGCTGGAAAGTCCAAGATCAAGCAATCAGCAGATCTGGTGTCTGCTGAGGGCTGGGTTCTGCTTTCTAGATGTCACCTCTACTGGGTTGCACATGGTGAAAGAGAGCAGAATCAGGAAAGCATAAACAGGCTCCCTCATGCCCTTTGATAGGGACACTAGTCCCAATCATGGGGGTGAAGGCCTTGTGACTTAATCACTTCCCTTCCTAAAAGGTCCTACTTTTAATCCTATTACATTGGAGGTTACGTTTCAACATATAAATATGGAGAGGGCTAGGGATTTAGCTCAGAGGTGCTGTGCCTGCCTGGCAACTGCAAAGTCCTGAGTTTGATCCCTAGTACCAAAAGAAAACAAAACAAAACATATGAATGGCGAGGGGCATCAACATTCAGAGCACAGCAAGCACAATGCACTTCAGTAATGCTGAAAGTGGTTGCTGCTTACTGTTCTGTCCAACATTGCCATGTTTGATGGCCCAGGCTGGAGCAGCAAATGCCATGTAGCAGAGTAAGATATGTAAAAAGGAGGAAGCACAGAAAGACCCAACCGAAAAGGAGAACTATAGGCCAATCTCACTAATGAACATAGATGCAAAAATCCTTAATAAGATAATAGCAAACAGAATGCAGAAGATCATCAAGAAGATCATACACCCTGATCAAGTGGGATTCATCCCAGGGATGCAGGGATG